GTCGCTTTCACCTGTTCAATTAAGTCCTCGCTTTCGACCAAAGACACTCTAGTTATTTCGCGATTTTGTCAGGTGCAAGATAGAGGAGGTCGAGTTTTCTTTCTCACTTTTCTTGTCTAATTTACAGCACCGTTAAGACGGGCCGGAAGCCAGTGCAATCCGCGTAAAAATAATCGGCTCGATCGCCAGTTTTATTTCCTCTTAGTTACATTACAAATCCAGTGATCATTAACTCTAATTATCATTAATTTACGACACGACGCAAAAGTCGAGTTGTCCAGACTCGTCAGAAGTGACTTCGTACGAATTTCAATTTTTTCTTCTTTCTTGACGTAGTTTAGCCATCACTTTATCGACGTATAAATGAAGCAAAAGCTCATTAGAAATTTTAATGTTGTAAAAGGGGGAAAAATAAATTCTCTCTCTCTCTCTCTCTCTCTCTCTCTTAAGCTCTTAATCTTCACAGCTACGAATTTATTCTAATTTCTAAATTTTATAATTATTCGTGCATTTGTTCAGAATCACCTGCATATATTATATATACTTATAAGCTGTATCCTTAGAAGGCTTGCCCTAGGATATTAATAAGGCTTCTCTCTCTCTCTCTCTCTCTCTCTCTGAGTTTGAGAATTGACGCACTCCACACTTCTGTTTCCAGTATAGGAGATTGACCTCATCGAAATTATACCGGTTTTGAACTCGGTGTCGCGGTGCAAGTTTTTCGATTGTTTGCTTGGAATAAAGCACGATTCCCACCACTCGGGGAATCGACGGGATCGACCCGGCGACTTAAATCTGCGAGCCGCCGCGGCAGGAAAAATCTTTAAAAATGCCCCGACGAAAAAAGCGCGCATGTGCAGCCACGAGCCATCTCTCTTCCCTTGCTCCTCTTTCTCGCCTCCTACTACCGATGCGCTACAGTCCTCCCGGCTTCGCTTTATGCGTTCCTCGCAGCCAAAACAAATCGTAAAGACGCCCGGCGGAGTGCAATCCCATGCTTATTATCGAAAAATCAATGATATCAGCATTGGCGACTTTTCTCTAACACGAAATACCATTCCACGAACAGTATCCTACGATAGACGAAGAATTTTACGTTTTTACGGCGTGTATCTCGTTTTACTAATAATATGTTGATATTTCCCAACTATTGATATGGGAGATTTTTTTCAATAAAAGAAGACATCAATTTTATCAAAGACTCCGTTTTCAAAATATCAATGAAAAAAATAGATTATTTGTGTCCGATTCCTTATCAATCTTTCTTAACTTTTTTCGTCGATTGCTTGATATATATTGTCCTTTATATCTCGCAAGTGTTGTACAATTTTTTCTACAATGTTCCTCTTAACAATTATGTGATTATGTCTCCATCCTCTCTTCTTTTATTGGTAAGCTCGTGTAATTTCTATCAAGATTTCTTTCCGATTTTTGTTGATACAAGTGTTACCAGTCTATCCAAGTGTCTCTTGATATCCTTACTCTGACTTGAAATGAGATATCGATACCACGAGAAATATTGAGTGATACGCAACAACATACGATATTTAAGATTGTCACTAAAAATAGTTTTGTCTGTTATGTTTTAGTTTCGAGTGAACGTGTTGAATGAAAGTAACAAAGTTTAATTTGAGTGATTCATTTTTTACGTATCTATCAGGATATATTTATAACTTGTTGAAATAGTGTGCGGTGCTAGGATTTATGGCTCACTCTATAAGACTTGAGTGATAAACCGGTCCGAGCGAACAAAACGTCATTCAGCAGAGATTCCCCGACATACATATTTCCCGTTTTAACCGTCTGTATAATAATGCAATACTGTTGAACAATTTCATTTTCACTTACTGGCTGTTCTTACCGAATTTCGATACAGATTTAAATTCCATTGACAGAATTTTGAAGTTGATTTTCCATTATTGTAACAATTAAAAATTGACACACAACACACACAGACAATATATACACTCTTTTTTTTCTATTTATATTATTTTATTAAATTTAAGCGATCATTTACGTTTAAGTATTTGTGTTATTGAAATCTTAAGCTTTGTGTTCGTTTGAGAATAACTCGTGAGCAAAGAGAACAAGGAGGAATAAAAGTAAGAACAACTCTCCGTAACACTCTCCAATGATATATCCATTTGTAAGTGTAACTCTCAAGAGTGAGTCTCGACGGTATTTCTTTCAAATGAACAGTAGCCGCTTGTCTTTATGTGATTTGTGAAACATAACGCGCATCAAAATCAACTTCGAGAGCTTACGATTGCTTAGTTGGTAAAGTTATAAGTGGATCGCGTCTCTCATTAAAGCTCGGTCGGACTGTAGCAAAACTTCAAGTTCGTATCAACGCTTGCCAATGTTTATCCACGCAAATGCAAGAGAAATCGAAAGAACAATCTGACATTTCTTTAATGCAATTTAGTATTAAAAACATTTCTTGAATAACTCGACGAAGGAAAGATTCTCGCGCTACGATGGAGAGAAAACTAATTTTTATCTTTGTTTCTTTTTTATAGTCTTTGTAAGTATTAACCTTCCGCGTTTGAATAATTGACCGAATGAAGTATTATTACTTATTATTACTCTCATTATTATCACTGTGAATTATCGCATGGAATTTTTTTAAAAAATTGTATTTACCTAAATTACAATTTTTTTTCTAATTTCTTACAAAAGTCAAATTTTGGAACAAATGAAAAAGGCATTATTTTATTCTATTAATTAAATTTTTAGTGTTTTTGATGTTTTTATCTTAATTATCAGCTTCCGTAAAATGCACTTGCGGCTTACAAAAACTTCTTGTGAGATTTCTTTTTACACGATATAGCTAATGACTTCCTGGATGCGAAGGAAATTTGGACGATTGCTCCGGGATTCTGGATGTAATTAAGTGTTACCGGACGGAGATTGAGTTTAATGAGACGTAGCGTCGCCTTGATAGCATAACTTAATGAATTTCTCGAAATAAATCGGCTTTAGAACAGATTACTGAATATATTGTAATTTTTCTAATACAGGAACATGTATATATTTTTTACAATTAATATATACATAAAATACGTTAACTGTAAATGAACAGAGAGATGGCGAATAAGTCAGCCGCAAATGTTGACGCATTTACATCAATACATATACATATATGATTGATGCTGCTTCTATAATGATACAATTGCTTAGGCTTCTTCCTGCTATCTAGAAATATTGAAAACTTTTCAGATTTCCTCATTGTATAATACATTCAATTAGAAAAAAGTGATGTTTGCAAAACAAGATAGCACTATATACGCACTAATTAAAAAATTCACGCTAATCGTTGAATTCGCAAAATGTTACGCAAAATCAACATGTCAACAACGATAACGATACTTTTCAAGCCGTAAATATCACATTAGCAACTTTTCGATCGGTAGCTTTTGTCCGTGATAACGGGATATTACAATGTTATCACATCAGAGATTCTCAAAATAGTTAAAGCAATTATATGATCGAACAAGCTTGGGATTGCAATAAATTAATCTCAATCGGTGCACGGAATATTATCTTAACAAATAACGGTTATGTAACGAATAAATACGGTACAATAAAAACAATTAACTGTAAATACGATTTTTTCACGTGCAAACGATGGATATGTGTTGCGTTATATTTTTGTTTCTCTGGAAAACAAATTTATATATCGGCGAACTTTATTAACAGATATTTCCAAGTCTTATCGTTATCTGCCATATGACATTAACCATCGCTACACATCACATTACACAACGATCGACTTCACGTCCTTCTATATTCACACTCGTTTAAATTTCACGTTTTTATATTTTTCCGTCTCTAGTAAATTAGCGTTTGTTCTATTTTTAATCAATTTTCCAAAGAAAATTAATTATCGAATATTTTTGTATACAGTTCTGCTCGGTATAAATTGCGTATCTTATAGATCGTGATTTGTTGCGTATCCAGGTGATAAATCTGTTGGAATACATTTCGCGAAGAAACAATATAGCAATATCAGATGAGTCATTCGACAAAGCAAAAGCAATAATTACTTCAATATAGACCACGCAAAATGCAAATTGAGTGACAAATTCGAAGTGGCAAATAAAAAAAAAATGAAGACTGATATAATTAGTCCGATAAGAGGAGGAATGCCTCGCGATATTGCGTAACATAAATTCTGTAATCGTAAAACGACTTAAATCGTCTTATTCCTCGCAATGTAATTGCGCGCGATAATACCGATTGGGCGAGACACGTGTCTTAAATAAGCGTCTTAAATAACGTGGCAAAGTTTAATTAAAAACTTTGTGCGATATGATGACCTTCTTTTGAGTTTGCCTCTTATTTTCGGTTAATTATAATCCTATCCGCCTTTGTTACCTGCATATTTAAAAAAATTAACGAGTATAAAAAAACACGAAATTAAAGCGAATGCGCGATATGATTGTAAGAAGTTCCGTCTTATTCGAGCATCCAAGGATAAAATTCCTCAAGGATTCAGGAATCCAGCGAATCGAGCACGTGGTTTTGTATGGCGTTTAGCACCTTATAAATTATCAGCACGATACGCAGTTCATATATATATTCGACCTGCATAACAGCGATTGAACTTGTGAAGCGTGAACCGGACGTGTCTATCCATGCGTGACTAGGAACGTGGTCTGATCTGATATTCTAGAGCGTGCTTTCTAAGATCGAAGATTCTAAAGATGCAAACATCTACATGGCCTAATTTCGAGAATAATGTTATTCTTGATCAAAATTGCCCAAAGGATATATACCTGTAAAATTTAGTTTTATTTTACAAATGCTCACCATCTATTCACACGATATTCATATTAAACTGTACACGAAATTCGAGACGATAAATGTAATGATAGTTACCGATAAAATAAAACTTTTCATTGTGTTTACAAGCGAAAAATAAAACAAATATCTCATATTTCTTCTCTTGCACAATGACGCGCTAACTGCGAATCCTATTCTGCATTGTTTACTTGCAGATACTGGCGCGCCCTACGTATTGTACAAAGATAACATGGAGAGACCCCAGGGTCAGTGGGGCCCGGGGCCGGGATCTCTCCAGGACGGTGGACTGT